CAGGACCTCGAGCCAGCACGGGCACGAGGTGATGAACTGCCGGGAGTAGCAGGGTCCCCAGCCCTTGGCAAAGCTGATGCGGATACTGTGGGGGTCGGAGGGCCCCTCCCCGGGGAGCCGCCAGCCCCCTTTGCCCCCCACCTGCTCATAGTCAAACACCTTTGCCGAATAGCCAGGCAGCACCTTGAGGACAGTAAGCCTGCAGGCCCCGGGGGGGCTCAAGGTGGGCGAGCTGACAAAGATGGGGTGCTTGCTGCGATTGTAGGCCCAGATGCCGCCTGGTTCCCGGCTCAGCAGCAGCCCCCGGCCGATCTTGCCACGTGCCCGCCGGACAGCACGGCTGCGGTGGGCAGCTGGCAGCTGGGCCAGGCAGAACCCGCTGCCCCATGGCAGCTCACAGAAGACATTCACTGATGCTTCGTGCACGGCGTAGAGGCGGCCCACACGTGTCCGGTGCTCCCAGTAAGCCAGTTTGCACCAGCAGCCATCCTTGATGGTGCTCTGTGAGAAGCTGGTGTCTGGCAGGGGAGAGCAGAGCTGTCATCGTGACCGAGCCATGCAGATGGATGGGCTAAGGGGAGTGGGCACAGGGGGGTCTGCGGACAGAAGGGTGTACTGGCACCCTGAGGATGCCTCAGCACAGGCTCTGGCACTGAGTGTGAGTCACTGGAGCTGTTCCTGGTCCCCAGGGACCCTGGTGACGGGTGGGGTGGGCAGGGGTAGAGCGTGTGTGTGGTGGGGGCTTGGCAGCCTTGGTGGCCAGCAGCCAGGCAGGAGCTGTGGCCATGTGCGTCAAGGCACATTGTTTGTGTCCCCATAGGCAGTGCTTCCTCCGGCGAGGAGCCTGGTGCTGCCAAAAATAACAGGAGCTGCAGTGGGGGGGCCGAGCCCAGGCTGCTCCTCCAGCAGGAACCCCTCATCCCATGCTGGAGCCTTTTCCTCCTGCTAGGAGTGGCTGCTGGCTCTGTTCCCTGCTTTTCAGGTTCTGTCCCCTCCAATCTCGGCTCCTGACCCAGGGGTTCAGCCTTGCCCGGTGCCCTCCTGTCCTCTGGGTGTGGCATACACAGTGGGGTGGGACTCTCTTACCGTGCCAGTCCCCACCTTTGCAGCTGAACTCTAGGAGCTGAGTGCCCGGGTGCTGGGGCTCGTCTGGCCAGGAGGGACCACAGGATGCCTTCGAGTAGGAGGGTGGTGGGGTCTCTGTGGAAGGGAGAGAAGGAAGTGAGGGGCTAGGCATGCATTCTGCCCCTCTCAGAGGCCCCTGGAGCCCAAAGAGGGCCCCAGGGAGCAGAGTTGAGAGCCTGGGTGGGCAAGGGGACCTCCGGTGTTGCCACCAGCACTCACCAGGTACAGCCAGGCGGCTGAAGTGGTGGGGGTTGCAGCAGAGTGCAGCCAAGTCCCCGCAGACCCCCTGGTGCCCAGCACAGTAGCAGAGGTGCTTGAGCTCATGGGGCTGGTGAACGTCGGGCCAGCGGAAGAGGCGGCAGAGCAGGACTTGAGGGGGGAGCCCCTGCTTGGCCCCTCGCGCATCCCCCCGTGGTGCCCAAACACAGCTGGACTCCCAAGCGCCCCGGCTCTCCACTGCCAGCACCAGCAGCTCCAGATCCTCATCCTTCAGCTTCTTGAAGAGGGCATGAGCTGCTGGTTTGAGGGTGCTGGGGCCGTCCTCAGGGCCCGCTGTTGCACAGCGCTGCTGCCACAGCCGCCGCACGAGCCCCGCGCGGCGTGAGCGGAACATGGGGCGGCAGTGGGGACCACCTGCAGGACAGGGACAGGCGTCACCTCCCGCGAGGTGACACCTCCTGTGTCCTCCCACGAGGCTGCTTTGCCTGGATTTGCCGCTGCCTGTGCCCCACATTGCTGCCGTCCCCACCGCAAGGGCACGGCGCCACTTCGAGGGGTACTGGCATCCCGGAGATCATATCAGACATGACTCCAAAAACAACCCCTCACTGCTGGGGAATCTGCCTGTGCTGACGGTCCACGTGCCCCTACCCACAGCACCCACCCACTCCCCTGTGGCCCCACCGTGGGGCTGGGTAAGGGGTCCCTGGGGAAAGGGGTCTCACTCACGGTGGGTGGCGCAGGAGGGCGCGAGGCTCCGGGGCGGCGCATAGGGCTGTGCTCTCAGGGCGGCCGGCACTGCTCTGCCAGCCGTGCGTCACTGCCTGCACTTTTTCCTGTGCCGGGATGCTCTCCCCTCCCCCGGACCTCCCTGTTTGGGGAATTCATTGATTCGCCCCCTCCCGGCCAGCTCCGAGGCTGAACCACGGCCAGGGCCACCACACCAGGACAGGGCAGGCACCAGACGTGTGGGCTCCAGTGGTCAGGGATGCCCAGCACTGAGCTACCAAGGCAGCTGGGCACAGCTGGGAGCCCAGACAGCAGCACAGACCACACCAGTTCACACCCACGGGGCAGGGTACAGCTGGAGGAGCTGATCTGGGCAGGGGGACGTCATGTGGCACAGCAGCAGGGCACCATCCTCGCAGACCCTGTTCCCACTCATGTCCACACGGGGGTTGTAAGGACCACCTAAGCCCCTTGTGGCACCTTGGGTGGGGGTCCCTGCCTTCCCATAGCCCTCGGCCTGACCAGGGCCCTCCACTGCGGGCGCTGGGTGAGGGTGGGAGCCTGCTCCACAACAGAAGAGCTAATGTAAACGGGACCCTTATCCCGTGCTGGGCCAGGCTTCCTGCTCCTGACTTCCCGCTGAGATAAGGGAGGCCACACTGGCGCCAGTGCTGCCGCTGAGGACGAGGACGAGGACGGAGTGTGCAGAGCCTTCCCTGTGCAGGCACCAGCACAAGGAGCATTGGGCAGAATGGGCTCAGGGACCCACAGCCACCCTCACAGCCAGGCCCCAGTGCCACCAGCCATGACCTGTGATGCAGCTCCCAGCCAGGCTGGGCCCTTTGGAGACACTTTGCTCCTGCTGCTTCTTGCAACCTCTTGGCAGCACAGGACTGGGACATGAAATGGCTGGAGAGGACAGGGAGGGGAAGCAGGAGATACTGGAGAGCCCCAGCTTCCCACTCCTGCCCCTTGGCCCCAGGGGACGTGGGGACCCTCAGCCCTGGGCAGGGGTGAGGGGTGGGCTGGGGTGCCTCGGTGCTACTCAGGGTGAGGGTTGGAAGGTTTGAGGACGCACACGCGCACGCACACACACACACGCTCTCTCCCAGAGCTCTCTCCAAACAGATGCAGCCAGTCAGGCGCTGTTCAGGTTTACTGGGGGTCTACGACTGTGGGGAGTGCAGCGTCCCAGCGCCGGGGGTCCGTCAGCTCCATCAACACGTGGCGACAAGCACAGTCCTGGGGAGGGCAGAGAGGCACAGCAGGTGAGGACCCACTGATCAGCATCAAGGCTGCGCCCCCTCAGTCCCCAGAAGCACCACAGCCAGGCCCCCTGTCACCCCCCAAGCACCATGACCAGGACCTTTTCGCCCCCAAGAGCACCATGGCTGGGCTCCATCACCCACCAGGCACCACGACTAGGCCACTGTCACACCCCAAACGCCACATCAAGCAGGCAGCTGCAGGCGGTCACTCACCCACAGAGGCAGGGCAGGCAGGGAGTGCTGGAGGTCCTGCAGTACTGAAGTAGGGGGGAGGGGGCATTCCCTAGTCCAGCAGCTCACGGATGCACCAGCTGCAGAGAAGGAGGTAGACGCACTCCCGCAGCAGCCGCAGCAGCCAGGAGCCCAGGCGCAGCCCCAGGGAGGTGGTGGCGGGCGCCGGCAGTGCCAGTGCCCGTGGCCGTGCCCGCGGAGCACCCAGTGGATGGGCTGCCGTGGTCCAGAGGAGCTGCATGGCTGATGAGGGATCAGCTGGATCTGATGTGAGCAGGAGAGGCAGCAGTGCAGATACACAGGGCCCTGGTAAGCCCTGGAACCTGCTACATTCTCCATGCTTCCAAAACCTCCACAACAGTGGGTACAGCGAGGGGGGCATGGCCTGGGGACCCTTTTGTTCCTCCCACTCCTGCCACTGCCCCAATGGGGCCCTTGGGGCCCAACGAGGCCACGCGCCAGCGCAGCGCAGACCACAGCAGGTTTATTCAGTGCTGACAGGCAGCAGGTTTATTCAGTGTCATTCCCGGCAGCTTTCCAGAGGAGCCTCCCAGAGCATGGCCTTCACAGCCGGGACGTGCGCTCCTCTTCCTCATTCTCCAGCTCGTAGGCAGGCCGGTAGCTCTCCCGGCCCCAGGCGTCGGCGCAGCGCAGCGCTGGGTTCTTGCGCGTGTTGGCCATGCTCCCCAGGGAGGTGTAGCTGTGGAGGGAGGAGAGGGCTGTAGGGCTGCGCCTGGGGGCATTAGCTGTGCCTACAAAGAAGGCAGCACTTGGGTACTCACCCCTTGTCATAGAGAATGCAGTAGGGAACAAAGAGCTTGCGCAAGAACTCCCAGATGTCCCGGTAAGTCCAGTCCTGCAGGCAGAATTGAACATGGACTGAGGCAGAGGCCTCCAGGGAAGCAAGCTGGACCCTGCTAGAGAGCACCCAGGAGAGCCAGATGGTCCCCAGAGCACCTCTTTCTGTCCCAGTGCCTCCTCATACACAGGGAAACACTCTGGCAGGCAGGAATAAGCCCTGCCCGACAGCACCAGGCAGCCTGGCTGCAGCAAGAGGCACCCACAGCCACGGCATGGGGCAGCAGATGCGCTGGGGAAAGCAGGAATCATGAGAGAAGCCCTCCAGGATAGGGTTGGATCAGTGCTAGCTCCCAACCCCATCATTTTACCTCTCCCAGGCCCCATGGAGACAGTCCCAGCCCCAAAGCAGGTGGAGGACACGTACCAGCAAGGGGTTCACCCGCATGTACTGGGGCCAGTCAGGGTCTGTCATGCACATGGGGGTCAGGGTGCATGAGTAGGGGTCTGTCCGCCGCGTTCCCATCAGTACGGCCTCCAGCTGTGGCTGCTGCTCCTTTAAGTGGGCCAGGGCCTCCCGGATGGAGCCCTCCACGGTGCAGAGCTGGACATCGTACCTAAGCAGGCAGGGCGGGCAACTGTCTACAGGCAGTGTTGCACACCCCCTGCCTGGCAGCCCACCCTGCTCTGCCTCCTACCTCTGGACAGTGGCTTGGATGAACTGCTCCATTTCAGGGAAGGGGGACACAATGCGGATGTAGAGCACTTGCAGCCTCTCCTGCCTCACCGGGAACCGCCTGCGGAGAGACCCAGCACAGCTGGGCCCTGGCCCACAGCAACCAGAGGTAGGGCAGTGTCCAGTCCCCATCAGACAGGCCCCAAGAATCCACTCATTCCCCCAGAGTGGGGCAAGTGAGAGCCCCAGAGCCCCAGCTGGGGTGTGCGGGACACCCCCAGCCCTGCCCCAGGCTGAAGCCCCGTGGGCAAGTACCTCTGGACAGCAGCGTGGACAAGGTGCAGCAGGGCCGTGCAGTCCTTGCCCCCGTTGAAGCCCACGCAGAGCTGGGCCAGGCTGTACTGGTCCAAAGCTTCCTCAATGGTTTGCAGGGCTGCTGCCACCTTCTGCCCAAGGGCCGAGCCTGCTGGGATGGGACAGTTGGTGCCTGCCCAGGTCACGCTGCCTCGGCACGGCCCCAGAGCCTGTGGCACCTCACCATTTGGATGTCTTGTTTCCTGACACACAGTGGAGCCACTGCTGGCACCGCAGCAGAGAGCTTGTGCAAACCAGAGGTCTGTGCCACAATGGGACAGGGATCATGAGGGCACTGGGGAACTGCAGCACTGCTGCTGTCACTGCACACTGTGCTCTCAGACTCTGCCACTGCTGGCCCTAACTGGGCTTACAGGTCCCACTCCCACCTGTGTGGGACAATGCAGAGCCAGTAAAGCCCTAGCACGCCCCAATGAGCCCCCCACCACACCACAACAGGCAAGCTCCGCTCCCAGGCCAGCATTCCCACTGCCCCAGCCCTCCTGGGCTGCACAGAAGTGCAGAGGCACAGGTACCTGACTCTGCCAGGCTATAAACTTCCGCAGCCGCCCGAGAAACGTAGTCTGTCACCAGTGGCACAGCAACACCCGGTGGCAGCTGCCTCATCAAGAAGCCATACGCCTCCTCCAGGTCCTGCTCCGACTCAGAGTCCAGCGTCAGCTTCACGCGGTAGTAGTTGCTGGCCCAGTCCGGGTAGGAGCCCAGGCTGACGCGGCCCTGGAAAGCAGCATGGGCCCGGTCCAGCACGGGTACGATGAGGAGCTCGTCAGCTGCCACATAGACGGCACGGGAGTGGAATCGGGTCCGCTCACTGCGGAACAGGTGAGCGAGGCCGTCCAGGGCACGTTCCATCAGTGCCGGAATGCCCGGGAAGATGTACACGTTGCGCACGCTGACCAGCGGGTAGTCGAAGGCGCTGCCGCGGCCATCCGTGCCATAGTTGAGGCGTGCGGACTCGGGGACCCGGGCCAGCTTCATCTCAGGGCACTGCGCCTCTGTCCTGCCGAAGAACTTGTGCACCAGGGCCACCAGCTCGGGGTGGGGGACGACATTCTCCTCGAAGGCCTTGGCCACGGCCTCGAAGGTCACGTCGTCGTGCGTGGGGCCGATGCCGCCCGAGGTGAGCACGAAGGTGAAGCGGGCAGCGAAGGCGGCCACCTCGCTAGCGATGGCCTCCACCTCGTCGGGCACCACCGAGATCCGGGCCACCTTCACGCCC